AGAAAGTCGAGTTCGAGGCCCTCAAGGTCTCCGGTGAAAACTATCTCGAATGGGCCCTGGACACCAGGATTTTCCTCAACTCAAAGGGACTGGGTGAGTGTATCAAAGCGGATAACACCGCATCTGATAAAGACCGGTCCTAGGCGATATTTCATATCCGCCATCATTTGGCCGCAAGCCTCAAACAGCAATATCTCACTCTTGAGAACCCACTCGAACTTTGGGTGGCCCTGAAAAAAAGGTATGATCACCAGAAAACGGTGCTCTTGCCACAAGCCAAGTTTGACTGGAAGGAACTCCGGTTCCAAGATTACAAATCTGTGGATGACTACAACTCCGAACTCTTTCGGATAGTTTCAATCATGAAACTATGTGGTGAAGAGGTGTCTGATAATGATCTCCTCGAGAAAACATTATCCACCTTCCATACCCAAAATATTGTGCTTCAGCAACAATATCGTGCAATGAAACATACATTGTACGAAGATTTGTTATCCTGTTTGCTCTTGGCCGAGAAAAACAATGACCTGTTAATGAGGAACAGTGCCCAGAGGCCCCCGGGATCGGCTCCAGTACCAGATTCCCGCAAAGAATCCTACAATGTCCAGCGAGACAGATCCTCAGATCGTGGCCATGGACATGGGAATGGACGTGGGAATGGACGTGGAAAGCATGGACGCAGAAACGGACGTGGCAACCGACATAACCTCAGTTATGGTTCCGGTAAAGGCCATGGTATCTCTAAACCAAACCGCCCTGCCCACCCAACCAATCAGTCTGCCTGTACCAGATGCGGAATGTTCAATCACTGGACAAAGAACTGTCGTACTCCCAAGTTTCATTGCGATTTGTATCAGAAACATGGGAAAGCACCTGCTGAAGCTAACATGGCCCAGCAAGTTGATGCTAACGACACCACCACCGAGCCGACCGATCTCATGGACTACGAGACCTCAGATCTCCTCGATTGATTCTATCATCTGAACACTTGCTTATTTTGATTTTGTTTCTTTTCATTTTGGGGATTTGTTTTATTTTCATTTGCTATTTATTTTCAGACATTTTGATATTTTATGAATCTTATGATTTACTCATTTTTAAATCATACCTCTTGTTTAAATTGAAGATATGAACACTCAAAAGGATATCATAGTGGTGGATAGTGGATCCAGCCACACTATCCTCAAAGACAAGAGTTATTTCATAAATTTAATCATGCAAACCGCGAATATTAGCACAATAGCGGGTAGCTCGAACTTAATAGAAGGCCACGGCCAGGCCCATGTGTTGTTATCAAACGGCACACATCTGGACATTCCAGATGCATTATACTCACCCAGCTCAAAAAGAAACCTTTTAAGTTTTAAAGATATCAGACTTAATGGTTTCCACATAGAAACCCAGGGTGAAGGGAATAAAGAATCCCTACTGATCACTAAGATCACACTTGGCCATAAACAAGTCCTCGAGACTATACCCGCTTTATCTACTGGCCTTTACTATGCCAAGGTCAGTATGATTGAGGCTAATAATGCTCTCAAAGCCCGGTTCCAAGACTACACTATTTGGCATTACCGGCTTGGTCATCCCGGTACAACCATGATGCGGAAATTAATCCAAAGTTCTCAAGGACACACCCTTCGAGAAAACCGAGTCTTCCCTCAGCACCTCATGTGCACAGCTTGCTCCCAAGGGAAGTTGATCACTCGACCTTCACCAGTAAAAGTGTCCAAAGAGACATTGCATTTTCTGGAAAGAATCCAAGGAGATATCTGTGGTCCCATTCACCCACCTTCTGGGACATTCCAGTACTTCATGGTACTAATAGATGCTTCGACCCGTTGGTCGTATGTATGCCTGTTGTCTTCTCGGAACCAAGCTTTTGCTAGGTTGTTGGCTCAAATCATCAGATTACGAGCCCACTTTCCAGACTTCCCACTAAAGACTATACGTCTTGATAATGCTGGTGAATTCACTTCCCAAGCGTTTAATGATTACTGTATGGCCATGGGGGTGACCGTTGAACATCCTGTGGCACATGTCCATACTCAGAATGGACTTGCTGAATCATTCATTAAACGAATCCAATGGATTGCTCGACCATTACTCATGAGGTCGAAACTCCCGGTCTCAGCTTGGGGACATGCAGTATTACATGCTGCTGAACTAATACGCATCTGACCATCTAGTGAGCATAGATATTCCCCATCCCAATTATTACAGGGTCATGAGCCAGACATCTCCCATCTCAAAACATTTGGGTGCTCAGTCTATGTACCCATTGCTCCACCACATAGAACCAAAATGGGACCTCAAAGGAGGATGGGAATATATGTTGGTTTTGATTCTCCCACCATCATCAAATATCTCGAGCCGACCACTGGAGACCTATTTAAGGCCAGATATGCGAATTACCAATTTGATGAATCGGTATATCCAACATTGGGTGGAGAGAAACACAAGCTGGTCAAAGAGCTATCATGGAATCAAACATCCTTAAATTGGCAAGATCCTCGGACTCTAGAATGTGATTCGGAGATCCAAAAGATTATACACTATCAAAAGCTAGCTAATCAATTGCCAGATTCCTTTGCTGACCCGAACAAAGTAACCAAATCGTACATACCAGCTTGTAATGCACCAGTACGAATCACTGTTCCAACGGGACAAGTTCAAGTTGCTACAGAGTCTGCATCATGAAATAAACGTGGCAGACCTCTAGGTTCCAAAGACAAGAATCCACGGAAATCAAAGAAAGGTGTAATAGTTGAAACCGGGATTCCCAATATAACAGACATAGCGCGCGCTGAGACTCACTCTAATGAACCACCAGAAGAGGTTCGAGACGCCGAATCTCTAGGTTCTGACGAGATCGATAACAATGAGATCTCTATCAATTACAACATGTCTGGAACCCAATGGAACAGAAAAGAAGTCGACTTAAATGCACTCTTTGCATACAAAGTAGCACTTGATATTGCGAACACGCAAGAGGATCTAGAACCCACGTCTATCATAGAGTGCACTCATAGAACAGACTGGCTAAAATGGAAAGAAGCCATAAACGTGGAGTTAAAGAGTCTCAAACTCAGGAATGTGTTTGGTCCGATCATCCGGACACCATTCAATGTCAAACCAGTGGGCCATAAATGGGTCTTTGTGCGTAAAAGAAACGAACTCGGTGAAGTCGTTCATTATAAAGCACGGCTTGTAGCACAAGGATTCTCACAGAGACCCGGAATCGATTATGAGGAGACTTATTCTCCGGTGGTGGATGCAACTACTTTTCGATTCCTTATAAGTCTGGCCATAAGAGAAAATCTAGATTTGCGGTTAATGGATGTTGTCACCGCATATCTCTATGGGCCCCTAGACAATGAAATATACATGAGATTACCAGATGGCATAGAGCTTAAAGATAAGCATGCATCTCGAGATCAATACTGCATCATGCTGAACAAATCCTTGTATAGACTGAAACAAAGTGGACGTATGTGGTATAACCGGTTAAGCGAATATCTCATCAGAGAAGGCTACAAAAACGATCCCATCAGTCCATGCATTTTCATCAAGAAATACTCAAACAAAGGATTTGTAATCATAGCAGTTTACATGGATGACCTAAACATCCTCGGAACATCTGGTGAAATCTCCCAAACAGTCGACTGCTTGAAAGCAGAATTCGAAATGAAAGACCTAGGTAAAACTAAATTCTGTTTGGGTTTACAACTTGAGTACGTTAAAGGAGGAATCCTTGTGCATCAAGCAGCTTACAATGAAAAAGTACTCAAGCGATTCAATATGGACCAGGCCCACCCATTGAACAGCCCAATGGTTGTCCGGAGCCTAGGATTGGACAGTGATCCATTTGGTCCCAAGAAGGACGATGAAGAAATTCTCGGTCCAGAAAAGCCATACCTCAGTGCTGTAGGAGCGTTAATGTACTTGGCTAGTCACACTAGACCAGACATTTGTTTTGCCGTGAACCTCCTAGCCCGCTTCAGCTCATGTCCAACTCAGAGGCACTGGAATGGTATCAAACACCTCCTAAGATACCTTCAAGGTACTAAAGACTTAGGACTGTTTTACACTAACCACAACAAGGATGGACTAGTTGGTTTTGCTGATGCAGGTTATCAATCAGATCCGCACAATGCCAAGTCTCAAACTGGTTATGTGTTCACGCATGGAGGAACAGCTATTTCTTAGAGATCGATAAAGCAGACAATCACTACCACTTCATCAAACCATGCAAAACTTTTGGCCATTCACGAAGCCAGCAGAGAATGTGTTTGGCTACGATCCATGACTCAGCACATCCGATCAGATTGTGGTATGAAAGAAGATAAGGAGCCCACGATTATGTTTGAAGACAACGCGGCTTGCATTGCTCAACTCAAGGAAGGTTATATCAAAGGAGATCGGACGAAGCACATCCTACCGAAATTCTTCTCAACCTCGGATTGGCAGAAGGATGGTACGATCAGCGTTCAACAGGTCCGATCATGCGATAACTCCGCCGACCTTTTCACCAAATCATTGCCCGCTTCAACACTCCGGAAGCTCATCCAACAAATAGGAATGCGTAGACTTAGAGATCTACGGTGATGCTCTAATCAGGGGGAGTAATGCGTGTTGTACTCTTTTTCCTTCACCATGGTTTTTCCCACTGGGTTTTCCTGGTAAGGTTTTAATGAGGCAACATTCCCCAGCGTATTATCGAGATCCCGATTGACCATCAGGTCCGGTTACTCCGTCCAAGGGGGAGTGTTATAATACATCATATTGGACTTATAACCGGACCCAATAAGCCCATCAGGGTTATTCATTATGTACTCTAAAACTCTAGGTTTATATGCCTATATATATGTATCATTATTCATGGAATAGAATAAGATAACAATAAGTTTCACAACAGCATCATAGTTTTCATAGTATAAATAACTATAGACTAAGAAGAAAAGTATATTAAAAAAATATCTACTACTATATCTTAAAATCTAGATACTAAAGCTTTGAATATTCTCTACAAGAGAGGTGACTCAGCTTTCAAAAAAAAACAATGTTATCAAAGAGAGAAAGGAACAAGCCATATGTCCTAGAAGTTTTAATCAGCTTCTTCTTCTTCATCGTTAGTTCGTTACCAATTCCATATCAGGTCTCAGTTTCCTACTTATCTCTCTGCAGCTCTAGCTGCTGCAAGCTCATTGGTAGTGAGGATGAAGATGGTTTCTGAGGAAGCGATTTTGCAATCTCAACGTTCAACAGTCTACCAAAGGAAAGTATATGGTTATAACTCATCAAAACGTAAGTACCAATTTCTTAGATGAATGATTACCGAACGAAGCAAATACTCAAAAAGCTAAAGCCCTAATTCGGAAATAACAAATCAATAGAGCAGAGCCTAAACTTCCATTACCTAAAAAAACTAGAAAGAGCAGTTTATGCGGTTCTAGGGTTTCTAACTAATCGAGATAAACAATAGTAAAAGAAAGAACTAAAAAAAAAGGAAATCTTTATATAAGCCGCAAGTGTTTTTTTAGGGTACATTTGACCATAGAAATTATTATTTAAGGACCGACCATATGTATTTTTGAACTTTATTATTTTAAAAGCATAATTTATTTCCCCTTCATTTGAAACCAGAGACGAAGAAATTATACCAAAACAAAGGATTGTTCATTGTTCCCATCTTTCTCCCACATATTAACAACAAAAATTAGGTTTTAATTCTTTCTTTTTTTCTTGCCATCCAAGAAATTAAACATGACAGATCTGATTACCTTCCTTTGATGTTAAACTCTGAATCAAGTAAGAGAAAATCACTAACTCTTGCGTTTCCATCCTCGTCTCCACGACAAGACACAAGAATGTCTTCGGAGGCTAAGCAATGGGCCGGGGTTGATGCGGGTAAAGGCAATCCCATCTTCTCCAAAACCTCTGCATTGTCCACTACTTCGCGTGTCGATGGTTCCCTCGAGTTTGGTTTTTTATCGATAACGTAGATGCGACCAGAGTAGAAAACAAATAGTGGTTGTTTATCACGTACCAGACCTTTTCCAACATGTGTGACATGAGAACACAAAACATAAGAACATTTCAGAAAAGAAAACAGAGGAGTGATGTTGTTTAGTATCTTACAAGATAGAGGGCAAGATGATGATAACGTCTTTACACAAGAAGTATCACCATAGCAAGAGCTGCAGGATTTCCAGGCCGAGTGATGACGTTTGATCCCAAGATAAGGCATTATTGGTAAACTGTGGATGACACAAGGGTCTATCGATTCTTGTATACAATGATTATGGAATTTGTTATATCTTGTTGGCTTTGTATACAAATTCCATAATCATTGTATAGGTGTATAGTATTTCGGGTTTTGTTTTGAAATAGCTTTTTTTTTTTTTTTCTTTTTCTTTAATATCTATAGTCATATTAATTTAAAACCGAGTTTACATCTAGGCTCAGCTGAAACATCTGAGGACCTCCTCTTAGACGCTGACCCTTCAAAAAAGAAAACACACCACCCATAATTACAACATGCGTGTAAAACAAGTAACATGATCTAGATTTTGTTCAACGGACCTTGATCTTAGGGACATCGAACTGAAATGTCTTGCCTTCTTCTCCTAAGGCCAAGACATGGCTTCCCTTTTGGACTAGCCCGCCAACGTGTAGTTGACCGGTTAAAACAGGGGTTTTCGGGTCCTCGATGTTGTACTGACGAATATCTCCATGAAGCCAGTTGGAACAATAGAGGAATCGGTCGTCAAGTGAGATTAGAAAGTCGGTGATAAGTGTGGATGTCGGAATCCGCAATACGAATTTTGAGATGTAAATCGGGCCGTCTAGCCTTGCTAATTCGAACAGCAATCGTCAAAGAGAAAACGAAAGAGTGAAGTATGTGTATTCGTTTATTGCTCAAGAAAAAATCCTCTCCCCCTTACAATGATTTTTGTCTCCTATTTATAATTACATGATTTGAAAACGAAGTCGCTCGTCAAGCCGCAGATCTCGCCTCCATTATTGCTTCCGTTTCGAATCTTCCCGATCTCGCACATCCCGTACAACCCGCCTTTCATTTAACTCGCGGGATCTCGCCGTTTTACTCGAACTGGGCTTGAACTTTTTGGGCCGCTCTTTTCGTCCCCTAAATGGGCCGACGGCCCATTTCGTCTCACTGATCCACTATCTTTCCGGGCCGGATCCGACACCGACAGTTTGCCCCCCAAGTGTTCCGAAGTATTAACTTCGGGATACTTTAAATAACAAACTCTTCTCGGGCTCGGAGATTTCGTCATTAATTCCGCTTTCCCCGGGATTTGGTTTCTCGACCGAAGTGACGTTTCGAGATCTTTAGGATATAAATTTTCCCGCGGATCGAGGGATTCTTCTCGGGATGAGGGCGGCGTTTCGAGTTCCTAGGGCTTCCATATTCCCGCCAGAGATTCCTATTAATACTTGATTGGACTCTTCGGGTTCTGCACAACCGCTTCAAGCTCGCTCACCTTCGTCGTCTGCTTATTTAAGGTACTGAACCTTCTCCTCTTTTTTCTCTTAACACTCTTCCGATTACGCTTTAGTTCTTGCTACTTAGTTCCGGATTCGTGTTAGTTCACCGCTCTAGATTAGTTTCGTGCTAGATTTAGGCCAGAGATCTAAAAGATTTCTTAGATTTTCAGCCCTCTGCTCCGAAATTGTTCGCTGTTCTTCAACTCCTCCGCCGTGTTCTTGATATTCCGTTGAATCGCAACCGTTTTCCGAAGAACGTCAACCGCTTAGTCTTTCCGGTTTCTGGGTTTTCACGAAGATCTTCGAAGTTTGCTCAAGCGTGTTCTTGAGCTGTTCTTGAAATATCTTCCCAAATCCCTGGCGCCAGATCTTGTTTCGTCTCTACATCTTCCCTAACTACGTTATGGCTCCGAAGCGAAGCAGGAAGATCCAGAATGAGACTCAGATCATGGAAGGAGAGTTCGGGAAGTATTTTTCTTCGAATCTCGACAATAAAAAGCTGGTTCTGCTTAAAGGTGCCTGCCAGATCCCTCGGCGAGTGTCCTTGATTACTCCAGGACCGACAGATTCTCCGGAGTCTCCACCTACCGGTCACACTTGCGCTTTTGAAATTTTCTTTTCGGAATGCGGGCTATCTTTTCCGCTTCCCGGCCTTTTGGTCGAATTGATGCACGAGTTCGGAATCGCACTTCCTCAACTATGTCCAAATGTAGTTAGGACCGTCCTGTGCCTCCAGACCCTTGCAGAGGAAAATGGATACCGTATCACGCTATCCGACGTACTCCATCTTTATACAGTAAAGAAGGGGCGAACTCCGGGGACGTTTTTCCTCAGTCCTCGGAGTAAATTCAGAGTCTTCGGGGATTTTCCCGAAAAGGACGAGCAATGGAGAAAGTCCTACTTCTTCTTTGCTGTAGACGAATTTTCTTATGGTCCAAACACGGATTATTTCGTTCGTGAATGGACTCGTCGTCCTGGTAGATAGCTCCTTAGGTTTTCCACTGCTTTTCACTTGTTTTTTTTTTTTTTTCTTTCTAATCCGTCAATGTTTTTGCTTTTGCAGCTAAACCTCCGAAGAAAACGCTTTCTCATATTTTTGCGGGGCAATTCGTAAAGATTTGCAATAGCAGCGACCTGTTGTGGGAATTGTTCACTTGCGAACGCATCCGGAGTTCGTGTGCTCGAATTGTCTCGCGATCCGACCTCATTTCCTCCACTCCTCCCTCCTCCCCTACTGTCGCTACTAACATGTCTCCACTTTCCTACCGCGAAGAGAAGAGGCTCCAAAAGGAAAGGGAAAAAGCGAGAGAAGCGAGAGAGAAAGAAGATAAGGCCAGGATGGTGAAGGCCTTGGATGAAGGGAAGTCCAGATCTTCATCTGGTAAAGGGAAGAACTCGGGTACCGTAGATCCGATTTCCGAATCGAAGACATCTGATCACCGTGATCTGAAGAAGGTGTCTTCGGGAAAAGACCTAATCCGGATCTCGGATTCTCGCTCCTCCCGATCTTCTCGGGAAAAAGAAACTTCCGAAGGAGGTCATAGTGCAACCTCCTCAAGGAAACGCAGGAACGAGGAATCTGAAGTTCCTTCCCTCCAACGCAAGAGTCGTTCTCGTCTGAACGACGAGAAAAATCCTTCCGAGGATGCTGGGACCAGTCTGGGATCAAAACCAGAAGAAAAAGAAGATCCACAACGGGCCCCGGAGTCCGACTTGCCAACTCAGCTTCTTGTCCTGCCTTCGCGGGACTCTGAGAACCGGGAATCCGTCTGTCAGGAGATTTCGATCCCCACTGGTAAGTAGAGTGACTTCGTATTTCTATCTCGCTACAAGTTCATTTTGACGTTTTATTTTATTTTAACAGCTCCTCCGAAGTCACCAGCTGATTTCATGAGGAACTTTATTCCTGTTGGGATGAGGATTCCTCCCTTTAGTGACTTGAAGGAGGTCAACAGAGTGAACTACTTTCGCTTCGCTGATAAACTCGGAGAGGTAATTCTTTGAACTCTTCTCCTCCTTTCATAAAAATAAGAACTTTTCTTTCCGTCCTCATGAATCTTCGTTTTGACAGTTAATGCTCGAGTACAACACCACCTTCTCCTGCCACGAGTCCCAGCTCTTTCCTGTTAACGAGCTGGACGGTCTCAGGGCCCGGGTCGCCGAACTCGAAGAAGAAGTTCGTCAACTCAAGGAGATGGAGGAAGAAAATGTCAAGGGTCAATGATCTGGTTCCGGGGTTGTGATGGCTAGTGCCCCCCTTTGTTGTTTTTATTTTTAAACCCAAACCCTATTTATCGTTTTTTTTTTTGTTTTGAAGACTTGAATATTCCCCCTATATTTTTATATAAGTC